AGATCCCCGTAGCGGTCCCACTTAGCGCGCATCGCGCCCGATAGCAGCGTGGCGGCATCTTTTTTCTCTTCATATTCCTGACACTCCACATCGTACCATTTGTTCTTTCGGGCTCGCTGAAATCCTACTACCAAAGAACGTAGATAACAAGAAGGGACAACTCGTTATTATTGTAGCGAAAGTGCGCAACAGGGGCGTGCCTTCTCTTTTGCCCTAGTGCATTTTTTGATTGGATGAAAAGAGAAGGCACCCCCTGTTGCGCACTTTCGCCACAATTATAACGAGCTGTCTCTTCTTGTTATCTACGTTCTTTGATAAAACTTATGTTTTCGTCCGTGTAAAATCTATCAAACGAAAACTAGTTTTCGCTGAAAACTGCTTGAAAACTCACGTTCCACTCATTCCAATCGGTGTCTTCACTAGTTTTTTAGATATATTTATCGAAGTGGAAGTCATATTTTATCATATCTAATATGCTAGTTGGGATTTATTGCTAATTGGCTGGCCAAATTAAAATGTGAACAAAAGATAAAGGTTGCTAACAAAAAAAAAAAATATATATATATTTTGGTTTTGTTTTTCGTAACAAAACTGTAAACAACGGATGAAAGAAATGTCAACGAAAACACTAACAGCCGGTGAGAACCGCTTACAGCCCACAATCACAAAACTCGTTTTCAAAGTGTTTTCGTTGTCGGTCCGAACATGGTAAATGTATTTTTCCTGAATTTTTCAACTCAAAAGCTTTAAAAACACCGTCACATTTATTTCGTCATTTCTCGTTCTCGAGATATTTAATTTGGGTTTTTTCAAAGATAGAACAGTGCCGCATTACATTTACTGTATTTCCTTGGGCAATGATCGGGATCCAGGTAAAAAATTTGCACGCAAATGCAACATCGATATGATTCTGATGGAGAGCTGGTTCAATTTATGATCCACTGTGTTTGTTTTGTTTCACTGATAATTTGCTGCACGGTTTGGTAGCACTGACAAATGAATGTATACGCAAAGACATGATTCAATAATACAAGGTTAGATAATTATTGACAGCTACGGTTTGACACTCCCTTACAAAAGGTTGCATTTACGAAGGACGGAGAAAAGGGGAGGAATGAAATCTCTTGGTGCGAAAATGGTAGAGAAAAGTATGCAAAGTAGGCAATTAGTAGTGAAATTCCTTTTGTAAATTCTAAAGTTTTTGCAGGAAATCTAGCATTTTAAACGAAATTTTGAACGTAATATTGATGTATCTATGTAATTTACGTAATTTATGTGCTATTTAGCTGTATAAAAAATGCAAAATGACTCAAAATTAAAATAAGACTACTATGAGATTGATGTAAACATCCCATTTAAAAACAGTTTATGCTTTCATCAGTTAAATATGCTTCATATGCATATACAAATAAACATATTGCACAAACGCTCATACTTCTATATCACACCAAAGCTACACTGTTTCCATGTAAATGTGCAAAGAAGCAACACGGTGCCACTGCTAAGGGAGCGGTGCGAGAGAGACAACTGTCAGTTTATCGAACCTTGTATTATTGAATCATGTTCATGAACCAACAAGAACGATAGAATACAAGATTGCGCAGAATGACATTTGTGGCAACGGGTAAAAAAAGAATATAGCAAAGAACAATGAGTTGACAATTGTGAATTTGCAGAGAGAAAACGTGCTTTCTTCTCGATTCACCAATTTCTCAAGCCATCTTTGAATATAGCAAATTAAGCACTACGTTAACAAAAAATATACAACCACTCTTTAAATGTGTTCAAAAGAAAAGGTCTTATTAATTAACTATTTTAAATTTTTGTGTTTGTAATAGCAGGTGCCGAAAAAGCGCATGTTTTCCTGCAGAAAGTGGTCGATGTTTGCTTACCTCCGATTTGAATTTGTAATTTGTGGTATTTCAACGTTTTCAACTTAACATGTCGTGTTTTAAAGTGGTCCGTAAAGTGCTTCATGCATATTACGCTGGTGTCTACATTGTATGGCTTCTCCTGCCGGCAGAACTCTGTCCACTTTCTGGCCAAGGCGTCGTCGCGGGGAAACAAAAAAAAAACTGCATTTGGGGGCTTTACCCCTACGGCTGCTGTAATTCAACACACGACGCGACATTTTTATAAAGTTTTTATTACAAATAAAACGTTTTTTACTTCAGTACGCGCGAATTACTTTGATTTTTCACTTGAAAGTACACAATACGTTTGCACTTGTTTCTAAACAAAAAGTTTATTTACGTATTGCCATAAATGTCAAAGTCGGCAAAACCAAAGTAGCGGTTTCGGGAAGGCGCCACCTTCAGTTCATTTCACCATGATGAACCAATTAGAACAGATCTGACCGGTTGAGAAGCAGCCACTGAGCAATTGAGAAAAAAGTGTGTGACGTTCGTAATTTTGAATTTTGCTATTTCTGTTTTGCTTCTTTCTTTATGTGTATTTTGTCGATGGTTTATTTCAGTGATTTTTAAGCGATTTTCAAAAAATTTTTTGTGCAAATGTAATTTAAATGAAGGGCGCGGTGATTGGATGCAAACGCACAAAAATAATAAATTGGTTAGCACAAACTGGAGCTGTCAAACTATCGATAGTGGTGTTACAAATGGATAAAAAGGGTGTTCGAGACTTGATTATTGACTTTGCGTTGAATTTCATTCCTTAAAAACTGTTTGTCAAATTATTTTGATAATAATAATAATAGTTTGGCGCTTACACATATGGTAGTGTTTGACCGAGCTTCTCCTCCGATTTGTGGTGTGCGCCTTGATATTGTCACACAAAGCGAAGGGACCTACAGTTTTACGCCGACTCCGAAAGGCGATTGTATTTTTATGAGAAGCTGTTTTTCATGGCAGAAATACACTCGGAGGTTTGCCATTGCCTGCCGATGGACGACCGCTGTTAAGAAAAAACCTTTATCTATATTTTTTGCGAAGTTGCTTTAACCAGGGTTTGAACCCAGGCGCTGATGAGTGAAAGCGTGCACTGCTTATCACTTAGGGTTGGCAGACGTACTGCTTTTGGGAGTAAACGTACTCCTTTTTATTGCAATGTACTCACTTGTACACCCAAAAAAATATCTGGAAATGTACTCCTTTCCTAATTTTGTACATCTTTTGTACTCCTTTATCCAGCTACTAATATTTTATCATATACAGGGTGTAAATAAATAACTTGCAGTTTTTTTTTTTGAAAAATAAAAGTGGTCTTTATAGATTTGGCGAAAAAACTAGTTTATTGTTAATTATCCACAAATTTTACTTAAATTTTATTGATTCGTTTTTAAATTTTAACCTTCATTTGAGTTTACCAGCGGTAAACACTTTGAGAGAAAAGCGCAAGCTGCACGCAAGTCTTCGTCGGTTACTTTATTACATATCTTCTGTAACCATAGACTAATTTCCCCCATTTGGCTCCTTTATACTCCGTTTTTTGTCCAACATAAGGCCTCATACTCAGCAATCGAAAAGACTCGGAACTGGGTACTAGGAGGCCATTCATTCGACCAACCCTATACAGTTTTTTGTTTTTATAAATACAAAGTCAAAGAAAAAATACACCTGAAAAAACATGTACTCATTTTCCAAAGCTTACACATATGTTAAGGACCATTCACATACAACTTTCCTCGCTTTGCTTGAGAGTTCAAACTTTGACAACAAAGCGCGAATCGCAGAAGGTATGCTACAATAAACGCTTTGAGAGCTTTTGCGTTCTCCTTTTCCTCCATATTTTTGTATCTGTGTATCTGTAAAATAGATAACATATAATAATATGCATTAATAATAGCAATACAAATTCCTATTTACCCTATTTTTGTCATTGAATGCAAGCGCACGAGAAAAGATACGTGTAGACAGCTGATTGCCAAGGCGGGCAAAAGTTGAGAGTTGCTTAAGATTTTGCTTGGTTTTGCTTTGCTTTGCTTCAAACGTCTTTTATGTGAGCATACTCATGCATACGCCTACACCGATCTTATATGTCAAAGCAAAGAACTATCAAGCAAAGCGAAGAAAGTTGTATGTGAATCAGCCTTTAGTGTTTGGCCGAGCTTCTCCTCCGATTTGTGGCGTGCGCCTTGATGTTGTCACACAGAGCGGAGGGACCTACAGTTTTACGCCGACTCCGAGAAGCTGTTTTTCATGGCAGAAATACACTCGGAGGTTTCCATTGCCTGCCGAGGGACGACCGCTGTTAAGAAAAAAACCTTTTTTCTATATTTTGCGATGTTGCTTTGACCAGATGCAGATGCAAATAAGGATTTAAATTTTAAAACTAATTAAAAAAATTTAAGTAAAATATTTACAAAGTTACCAAAAAAATGCTTGTTTCGTAAAATCTACAAATAACCCTTTTATTTTTTAAAAAACCTGTGCGAAAGTTATTACTTTACGCCCTTTACTATGCCATTCATGTCGTGGCAAACACTACTTAGTAAGCAAAGTTAAGGGTGATAGTGAACAGGTGTAAGCATGGTCGTAGCCAGGTGGGTGCAGGGCGCACGGGTATAAATGTCAGAAAAATGTTAAATCAATTATAAGGCTCAAATTAAAAATGTGACCACACATTCAGGAAGACTCTGGAATTCTTTTGTAGAACTTAGTTATTTATTTTAAACATTTATTGTTGCTTTGAAGAAGTTTTCTATGATATCTTTATTTGTTTGTACCTAATTAATGGTAATTTGTAACAATAAATTGCACAAAAAATTAAAAAAAAAATTATTCTCCCTTTTTATGTTTTGTACTGTTTTTTTTTCTATCGAAAATAGAAATGTACTCCTTTCCCCGTTTCAGAATCTGGCAACCCTATTACAACTACACCACAGCGGCCGACGCCAAATTATTTTACCGATTTGAAAACTATGAGTTTAATTTCTTTTGCAATTGAATAAACATATCTATGTAAATCTTCATTATTCATTAAATAATTACGATTTACTACATTGGCGACGAGTTTAGTTTAGAAAACACGCATTCAGCAAAATGGATCACTCACAATTCAAGGCATTGTTCGAGGCATTGCAAGTACAAAATCAACAGATTTTGAAGCAACACCAAGAAGAAAAGAATTTGATGCAGAATCTGCTTGAGCGCGTTCTTCAAGGTCAACCGGCACAGATTGCAGATCAAGCCGTTCTTGCTCAAGATTCAATAGCATTTAAAGTTAAATGTTTGGCCGATTCTATGGTCAATTTTGAATATGACCCAGACAGCAATCAAACGTTTGAGGCTTATTATAAACGCTATGAGTCGGTTTTTACAAATCAATCTTCTATTCCAAAAATTCAATCAGGAACAGTATCAACGTTATGCGGATTCAATTTTACCTCTTAAACCACAAGATTGTACATTTGAGAACACTGTGACAACACTTAAGAAACTTTTCGGTTATAAAGAAACAAAGTTCGCAATGCGTCATAGGTGCTTTAACCTCGCAAAGTTCGACCATGAGGATTTTAGCATGTATGCTGCTCGTATAAATAAGCCCGCCGAGAAGTTTGACATTTCTCATTGTACTGCGGATGACTTTAAAGTTTTGTTATTTGTGAGTGGCTTAAAACACGTCAAGGACTCGCTTATCCTGGAAAAGCTTCTAACGAAAGTTGACAATCAGTATTTAGAGTTGGAGAGGGTAACAGATACGGCCGCACGTGCAGACGTTCACAAGCTGAATTTGCAGGATTTGATCAACGAAGCCGAGCGTATAATTTGCTTGAAGCTTGACAAGGGTAAAGTTGGCGAGGCATTCGCTGCTCAAGAAGTTCATTCTGTTCAACAAAATAAAAACTCAAAGTCATCATTCAACAAAGACAAGTCAACGGTTCGGAACCAAAGAAACGACACTCCTCGCTTGGCCTCTTTTCGTTGCGGCGAAATACATTGGAGTGATAATTGTCCATGCAAGGACAAGCAGTGTGGCGAATGTAATGAAAAAGGGCATAAGACAGGTTTCTGTGCTTTTATGAAAAATTTCAAGGGATAAAAATCCCAGTTCGAATCAAGTTGAAGCTATCGTTCACGCAATCTCTAACCGAAAGTATATCAGTCCAGTTGTCAACGGAACTGTAATCAAATTGCAGGTTGATACACTTGATTTGAATCTTTTTGGTATACCTTGGATTAATTCTTTCGATCTTGGGAGTGTTCCCTTTGATTCTGTTTGCAAACATATAAAATCAACTGGTGATGACTTGGCCATTGAAGTTTGCGAGAAATTTCCGCAGCTTTTTTCCGAGGGACTTGGCTGTTTCAACAAAGGAAAAGTTTCTCTGAAGCTGAAGCCTGGAGCCCATCCAATATTTCGGAATGCTCGACCAGTTCCGCAAGCAGCTCGCGAACCCATTTCAATTAAACTGGAACGTCTTCAACATCTTGGCATTATCAGTCCAATCAAGTATTCCCAATGGGCAGCTCCTATCTTGGTTGTTAAAAATAAGAATGGCAAATTGCGGATCTGTGCTGATTATTCAACTGATCTTAACAATGCACTTGAGCCAAACATATACCCTTTGCCGACACCCGATAAAATTTTCGCTAAGTTTGCAGGAAAGACAATATTCAGTACCATATATTTGTCCGACGCTTTTTTTCAAGTCGAAGTTGATGATGATGCCAAGGAAATTATGGCAATCAACACTCACGTTGGAATGTTTAAAGTAAGTCGCCTTCACCAAGGAGTCAAAGCAGCGCCTGCGGAATTCCAAGCCATAGTTGATAAAATGCTCAGTGGAACCTCAACATTTGGTTTTATCGATGACATGGTCGCAGCAGGAGAGAACCCTGACGATCACAAACAGCAGCTCTTCAAGACGCTTGAACAGCTTCAAATTTATGGTTTTAAACTAAATATTAGCAAGTGTTGTTTTGGCAAGTCGTCAGTTAACTTTTGCGGCCATATCATCGATGAAAAAGAAATCAAACCAAATCCTGAAAAAATTTGGGAAGTTCAATCAGCTCCTCAACCTAAAGATGTTAGCCAATTGCGATCATTCCTTGGTTCAGTGAACTACTACGGCAAGTTTATCAAGTCAATGAAGCAGTTGAGAGGTCCATTGCATGACTTATTGAAGAAAGAAGCAAAATTTGAATGGCATTCATCAAGAAGCATTCGACCAACTGAGGAAGATTTTGTCATCAGATTTAGTCCTTACGCACTTCGACCCGAGAAAAGACATTGTACTGGCTACTGATGCATCAATAGACGGCATGGGGGCAGCATTGCTTTAACATTCAAGGAAGCTGATAATAATTACTCTCAAATCGAAGAGCAAGCTCGTGCATTAATATTTGGTTTGAAACGATCTCACCTTTATATCGCAGGTCGACGTTTATTCGCTCAATTCGACCACAACCCCTTGCTCGCTATCTTTAGATCAAAAAGTGGTATCCCAGTTTATACGGCTAACCGCCTACAATGCTGGGCGCTCATCGTTTTAGCCTACGACATTAATTTTGAGTTCATCGGTACAAAAAGTTTCGGACATGTTGATGTTGTATCCCGACTGATGTCTAAATACACCAAACCCGTCGAAGATACTGTCATTGCATCTATTTCGTGTAGTAATGAAAATGTAGAAGATATATCTTGTTTTGCCATTCAATCAGCAAACCAGCTACCAATCACATTCAAAGATATTCAAGAAGCCACCTCATTGCCCGAAACTCAAAACGGTGATTGAATTTGTATCGCAAGATAAATATTTATATTTATTGCTGCGCAGGTAAATAAACAAAAAATCCCCTGAAGATGCTAAAAATCTTAGCGAAACGTCGGAGAAAAAGCTAAATAAAGTATTTTTATTTACACAACGGTTAGATCAGAAAAGCCTAACAAATACAACAATTTCAACCAAACTAAACTGATCGGAAAAACACCACAAATAAATGGCCCAAGTTTTGCAAGCAAGCTAATGAAATTGAGGTAGCCGCTTTCTTTCCATATCGCTTCGACTTGAAGGAAGCCCAAGGTTGTTTTTTCAGAGGCGAACAAATTATTATTTCGTTGAAACTGCGTAAGAAAATAATTGGAAGTCTTTATGAAGGTCATTCAGGTGTAAGTCGTGTAAAGCTGTTGGCTGCCGACAAAGTGTTTTGGCCAAGAATGTCTAAAGATATTAAACAGATCGTGAAATCGTGTGATAGCTGTGCTAAGGCAGCGAAAACACCAATCAAGTGCACTCTGCACCCTTGGCCAATGCCAGTAGCACCAAAGAACGCAGTGTTACGATTATCCTTAAAACCTTGNATACTTGGGCCACTAAATTAACATATTAACGACAGATAAATTAATATTTCATATCAATAATTGCATTAAAAACGATATTTCTTGCCCGCACTTGATTAAAAAGGAAAAATATTTCACATAATTTTATTTATTTGCAACAGCTGACGAGCGACGCACGCGAAAAGTTGAGAGTTGGCCATCTTTTTGCTTTGTGTTGGCGTGAACGTTGTCGAATTTTGGCTATGGGGACGGCTGCATTTGAATTCATGTATTCATAGTCAGCTGTTGAAGCGACGCCAACGCCAACGCAACGCCAAAGTTCTATGTGGACGGGCCTTGAGATTTCCCAAATATCTTCGGCTCGTATCGCTGGATTGTTAAATAAATGCTCACGATGACCAAATTGTAGTACAATTAACTTTGTTGTACAACAAACAATTAACAATACTCGCAAATACCGTAAAAACACTCTAACTTAACGAGTATTGGTTAAAGCAATTACAACGCTTTACAAAACTTGTTAACACAATTAAACTTATAGCTTGCTTATTTGAAACTCGCTTTACTCGTAGCTTGCTGACTGGTAACTAACTCAACTCCGCTGTATCGTGGCTCTTATATACCTGCGCTCGCACGCATGGCAACTCTCAAACGTTCTGAAGTTCATCGCTCATTCTCTTTCTCTCGCTATTCGCAGTGTTCATTCAACTTGACGTTTCTCTTAGTGGAACATTCTGCGTTATTCCGCGAACATTCTGCCTATTTCTCGTTGTTCGCTTTGTGTTGCCGCAGTATTCGCCACACTGCCCTCCACCTAAGTCTGATCGTCCCGATCAGACACACTTACTGTTCCAAACGCTGCAAACCTTTCCAAGTGGACCACTACACTACGTCATTCAGCCGTTTGACGACCTAATACGGACCTTTCCAGTTGCATTGTAGTTTTGGGGACAAACCTTTCTTCCATTGTGGATTTTACAGCAACACTAAGTCTCCCTCTTGGAAACCCTCGGAGTTCATTGCCTTATCATACCTGGCCTTCATCTTATCACTCATAATTTGAGTTCGCTGTCTCACAAGAGCATGTATTTCTCTCAACTCCTCTTCCAGGATGTTGGACGTCTCTTTCCCAATCCTCCTTGCATCGCCAGTTACTCCAAACTTCAGGTCACGAGGCAAACGGAGCTCACTGCCGAAGTTTACCCTTGCAGGAGTTTTACCCGTTGTTTCATGCACTGGTGACCGGTATCCCATCAGGAACAAGAGTATGCGGACATCCCAATCTTTCTGATTTNTAGTATTTTTTGCATAAAATCTTTGGAAATTATTAAAAAGTGGATAATTGCATCAAAATTCAATAAATGTGAGCGTTTTAGCTATAAAATATTACGAAATTGTAAAAAGTCCCTGTGTGCATGCACAAAACACATTTCAGGAAAAGACAAGAAGAGATGTTACTGCAAAATGATGTCTAGAATTGTTTCAGCAAAGTCTATATTTTAAAAATTGCAGGGTTTTGTAAATATTTCGCGAAAATATCAACCAGAAAAACAGAAAGTACCTTNGTCCACGACCTTCCGCAAATGCTCTTCCAGGGTTCGGTTGAACCGTTCCACCATGCCATCTGATTGGGGATGAAGAGCCGTTGTTCGAGTTTTCCGGATACCCAGTAGCTGGCACATCTCTTGGAACACCGCCCATTCCAAATTTTTTCCCTGGTCAGAGTGCAGCTCTATAGGTACACCGTATCTCGCAACCCAATTGTAGGTGAATACCTCCGCTACTGTTTATGCTTCCTGGTTTGGAATCGG